ATAGAATAGAATAGAATAGAATAGAATAGAATAGAATAGAATAGAATAGAATAGAATAGAATTCTTTATTGGCCAAGTGTGATTGGACACACAAGGAGTTTATCTTGGTGCAAATGCTCTCAGTGTACATAAAAGAAAAGATACATTCGTCAAGAATCATAAGGTACAACACTTAATAAAAGTCATAGGGTACAATAAGCAATCAAATCATACTAGGAAACAGTCAATATAAATCATAAGGATACAAGCGATAAAGTTACAGTCATACAGTCACAAGTGGGACAGGATGGATGAGAAGGAGTGATGAGAAGATTATGAGTAATAGTAGTGCAGACTTTGTAAATAGTTGGACAGTGATGAGGGAATTATTTATTTAGCAGAGTGATGGCATTTGGGAAAAAAAACTGTCCTTGCGTCCAGTTGTTCTGATGTACAGTGCTCTATAGCATCGTTTTGAGGGAAGGAGTTGAAACAGTTTATGTTCAGGATGTGAGGGATCTGTAAATATTTTCACAGCCCTCTTTTTGATTCGTGAAGTATACAGGTCCTCAACTGAAGGCAGGTTAGTAGTAATTGTTTTTTCTGCAGTCCTAATTATCCTCTGAAGTTTGTGTCTGTCCTGTTGGTTTGCAGAATCAAACCAGACAGTTATAGAGGTGCAGAGTCAATATTGACAGACTCAATAATTTATCTGTAGAACTGTATCAGCAGCTCCTTGGGCAGTTTGAGCTTTCTGAGTTGGCGCAGAAAGAACATTCTTTGTTGTGCTTTTTTGATGACGTTCTTGATGTTAGGTGTCCATTTTAGGTCATGTGATATAGTAGAACCTAGAAATTTGAAGGTTTCTACTGTTGATACTGTGTTGTGTAGTATTGTAAGAGGTGGTAGTATGGGAGGGTTTCTCCTAAAGTCTACCGCAATTTATATGGTTTTGAGTGTGTTCAGTTCCAGTTGTTCTGGTTACACCATGAGGCAAGTTGTACAACCTCCTTTCTGTATGCAGATCCATCATTTTCTCGAATGAGACCAATCACTGTTGTTTCATCTGCAAACTTCAGTATTTTAACAGATGGATCGTTTGAGATGCAATTATTAGTATATAGGGAGAAGTGGAGAAAGCACACAGCCTTGGGGGCTCTTGTGTTAATTGTACAGGTATCAGATGTGATTCTGCCTAGCTTCATCTGCTGCTTCCTGTCTGTTTGGAAGCTTATGATCCACTTACAAGTGTGTTCAGGTACCGCTAACTGGTTTAGTTTAGTTAGAAGAATGTCTGGAATGATGGTATTGAATGCTGAACTGAAGTCTACAAAGAGGACCCTTGCGTGGGTATTTGGAGTTTCAAGGTGTTGTAGGATGTAGTGCAGAGCCATATTAACAACATCATCTGTCGATTTATTTGCTTGGTATGCAAATTGCATGGGATATAACAGCAGAACCACGATGGTTTTCAGGTGGGACAGCACTGGCCTTTCAAAAGTTTTCATAACTACAGATATTAGAGCAACTGGTCTGTAGTCATTCAGCTCCCTGAGGGAGGGCTTCTTTGGCACTGGGGTAATAGTAGAGCATTTGAAGCAAGAAGGAACATAGCACATCTCTAGTGATTTATTGAAGATTCGGGGGAAAATGGGGGCCAATTGGTCAGTACAGACTTTTAAGCAAGAAGACCAGGGGTATCAAACTGGTGGCCCTCAGGCCGGATACATCATTCGTAGGCCATGCCCATCCCAGCTCCATGAAGGGAAAAAAGTCATGACATGTCACGTGATGGCAACATGACGTGGTAAGTTAGACACATGCGTGCTTCTTTAGTGTAAAGAATTGCAGGAAAGGAATAGTGGTTATAAACCTAATAAAAGGTCATAGAAATGTTATTATTTTTTTTCTATTTAGAGTGAAAGGGGATAGTACAAATGTATGCTGAAATTTACTAATATCCATGGAAAGTAAATTATGCAGTCATCAATTTTTAGAACTCTGAATATCAATCTGTCATCCATGAAGATTAAATATAAAAGAATTTTCAGGCTTAAAAAGGGAGGGTGAGAAAAACATGGAAATTATTGGCAATTTTAGACATGTGAGAAGCAGATAGAGGAAAATAGACTGGACTGAGAATTCAAGAGAAATCTGTGGAATGCAGATGTAACTTTGGAAAAATAAAGGAAAGTTGCTGTAGCCATGGCTCAATCTGAAATAATACTGATTGTTTAAGGAATTCCAATTTCCTTTTGATGTGCCATAGAATTATTATTGAAAAATCTCCAATGATCATTCATTCCAAGGTAATTCAGGCTGCAGTTTTATAAGATAAAATAAGATAACCTTTATTGTCACTTTTCTGTATAGACGATGGAAATATATATACAGCGAAAGTAATTGCAAATGACTTTCAATTAGAAAAAAAGAATTTGATTGTGCCTGTGACAGTCTTCCTGGCATTCCTTACAATTTGGAAAGCTGGGAGGTACATGACAATATAATAGATGCAATCCATTATAAATTATGCAGTATTTACCTTCGCACAGGTTGAATGAACATAGAAAAAACAGTCATCCCCAACTTCTGTCATTTCACCTCTTGTGCTTCTACTCCACTGCCTTTAGAAAGATCTCAGCATAAATGTTGGAATTATCAACATGTATGGGAAGAATATTCCCTTTTGTTCTGAGTACAGCTGAATTCAGGATCTAAGTTCTATTTCCTCTTAAAGGGAAACCTCCAGTTGATAGATTTAACCAAAAAGCTTCTTATACTAATTGTAAAACAGACGGTACCTTCTTAAGGTTTGTTGAAGAGCTCACAAATTGAAAGTGGTTGCTAGACAGTGCACAAATTCAAACTTCCAGAATTTCTTTCATTGTTACCTTAGTTCTTATGACATCATCACAAAGGACATCATATGGCCCCTCAAACTGGGAAAGCTCACTTATTTTCATTGTTCCTAAGTGCTGGAAAACAGGAAGAAGACAGCAATTTCCACATGATCTACTCATCTAGTTATTCCAACATAACATAAATGTATGAAAGAAATACAACTCAGTTAAGAGAATTTCTGAAACTCATAATGGACAGAACTGAGAATGAGACAAGAACGAGAATAAAGATCCTCATCTTTTCTCTATCAGAAACTCCCAATTTGCCAGGATTTTAATTATTTAAATGATTTGGTTCCTAAGCTTATCTGGCATCATATACGCTACTAACACATATATATCAGTCGATCAAATCTTTATTATGGTCATGGCATAATGCACACATATGTATGTCCTGTTATTAATGGCATGTGCATCAGTGAGTCTTTGAATAACTACTAATATTGCCAGAGGTATTGGGCTATGGGATAGATGCTTAATTGCATGAAAGTAAGTATAGTTCTTTGCTTGTTGTTTCTATGGCACAGTTTAAATGCAGGTTTTGAAAAGCTCATTGTCTGGGGATATTTGAGTTGGTTGAGAAAAATAATCTGTTAGAGAGAAAAACACAGAAATACTGGAACAAATATCCTAAGAAGACCAACCAAAAAGGTTACCTTTGATTTTTCCACTCTGTGGGAGGGAGAAGGACTTACTGAACAGTGGCAAAAACATTTGCAATAGTTACAAGGAACTCCTAAAGTAGATTCACCCTAAGGACACATGAAGTGCAATGTTATGAGATGTTCATAGAAGAAACCATAAAGATGCCAAATGAAACTAAACCAATTGGTAAACCATTAATATTTGCAGCTTGCATTAGTTCTAAATATTCGTCCATTCATTTATAAACCAATAGAATCAATCAGTTCTCAGTGGTAACGATCAAGAATTAACCATAAAGTTTTAGATACCATAAAGAAAAGATTCGTTACAATATATGAGACATGAATAGAATAACAGAGCAGTACATTATTTTTGCTGAGTAGGTGCAGGTCCCATCACAATATTTACATTATTAATTTGTGAATTCACATTTCTTTAAAAAAATTAAATCTAAATTTCAGGAACTGGCTTTTTTTTTCAAATAAGGGAAAGCATTTGAAGAGCATATTTAAAATATTATTTTTTTCAAGGAACTTGAAAATAATTATGAATGTGAGAGTCAGTTTGTCCACTAGCTTAAGGCATCAGGCCACAAACCAGGAGACTGTGAATTCTAGGCCTGCCATAAGCACAAAAGCTGGTTGGATAACTTTGGGCCAGTCACTTTCTCAGCTCAATCCACTTCAGAGGGTTGTAGGGAAAATAGAAAGAGGAAGGGGGATTACGTATGTTTGTGCCTTGAGTTATAGATAGTCCTCGACTTATGATCACAATTGAGCCCAAAATTTATGTTGCTAAGTGAGACATTTGTTAAGTGAGTTTTGCCCCATTTTACAACCGTTCTTGCTATAGAGAATCACTGCAGTTGATAAATTGACTTTGCTTGTCAGAAGGTCACAAAAAGTGATCACATGACCCCAGGACACTGCAATGGTCATAAATATGAACTAGTTGCCAAGCATCTGAACTTTGATCACAAAAATGCTACAAAGGGGATGCTACAAAGGTTGTAACTTTGAAAAATGGTTATAAGTCACTTTTTTCGGTGCCGTTGTAACTTTGAATGATCACTAAATGAAGTCTTGTAAGTTGAGGACTACCTGTATTTACAAAAATAACTCAAGATATAAATAAATAAATACATACATACATAATAAACAAATAATTGATGATGTAAATGTAACTAAGTATACAGGAGCTACTCCAGAGATAAATGTTAGAAATGGTAACAATTAAACTTGTAAAATTTTGTAAATATTTTTCTGGGAGTGTAAGAAATAATTATTTAATTATAATTATTTTCATTGTTTCAAAGTGGTTTGGGAAGCATGATATTAATGCACAGACAGAAACTTTACAAGGAATGTTTATGAATCAATGGCTTCACACAAGACTGCTTTTATATCTTATAGAAGCCATGCATAATTTTTCAAAGGAGGCCTCTGTATAATGAATGCAGCATTTCTGAATGGCCCTTCAGATAAGAGCCTAATTCTGTTGAACAGTGTCGCCCTGAAGATTTGGATGGCCCCCAATTCAGTTACACTTACACATTTGTAAGGCATTGAAGACCTGGCTGTTTCCCCAGGGATTTGGATCAGGTAAACAGATAAACGTAGTGTGCCAGTTTTCTGTGCATGGGGCTATTTATCTTTGGGTGCGGGGGAAGAGGTTATATGTGGTTTGTTTTTTTTCTGTTTTAACCTTTGTAAGTGACTCAGTCATTTTTATAAAGTGATAAAAACAGACATTAGGTAGTATTGCAAAATCAATACCGGCCATTACCAACAATACAAGGAACAAGTGCAAAAATTCACATTGCTGTTCCTGAACTACGTATATAGCTCAAGCACTGTAGACATGCCACCTTTGGGCTGAAAACATGTTAAAGACCACTGGATGGCAGAAAAGAATTTGCTGCCAACATTGGATTTGGATTTTTTATTTAGTTCTATATAAATTGCCACCCTAAATGTCACTGTATCAAAGAACAATACAATGTAAATGCAAGCAGGTGAATTCTAAAAATAATATATATTCTTCACTGATAAACGATAGTTACTAACTATTCCCAAATATTTAAAGCAAATGGAAAATGATTCTGGACGGCACAATATTTTGATTTGAGAACCAAAGTATTAAAAACTAACGTACTTTTTTTAGGATACAAAACAATACACATACTTGATTTTATTGCAAGGTACATGATTTTTTTTTTTAAAAAAATCCCTCTTATTAAATATTAATAATCTTCGACTGCACGAAATGCGTCTGTATGAATTCTTCATACAAACCATTTTTTAAAAAAACCTGTGAAATATTTTAAGGGTTAAACCACCAAGATCGAGGTCAGTTCTAAACGCTAACTCAACTTCCAAAAATTAAAGCTGTAACAAAGAAGTGGTTATGTGGGGCGCGTATATTACGTAATCTTTTTTTCTTTTAGATTAACATCCTAGTCGTGCTGGCTGGGAGTCGTAGTTTAATACATCTGATGAGCACCTGGTTGGTAAGAGATGATGGAGGAACAATGGATGAGACCTGCGATCAAAATAATTCGCCGCCTCTAATTCAGCGAATAAAGCGCTCGGAAAGGTGTGGAGCCTATCTCGATCCGGCCTTGGACTACATTTCCCAGAAATCTGTTCAGTGAGACTTACCCCCGCCGCGTCTGTTGTTGCTCAAGGAGCGGCTAGGAAGCGGCTTGCAGCAGTTGAGAATAGGAGGCTTCCCGCTTGCAAGGGGCGAAGGGCCGCGTTCTTGGGGCCATGAGTCGCCTGGGCTCGGTGCAGCAGAAGGTGCCCTGCCTCTTCGTCACTCAAGTGAAGGAGGAGCCCTCGGCCAAGCGGGAGCGCCAGGTACTGGGGTCGGAGTTACCCGCCGGGGTGAAGGGAACCGCGGGCCTGTCAGAAAGAAAAACTGGGAAGTCTCAAGCGGAGAATTGGATAATGACTTTTCCGGACCGGTCGTGGGTCATAATAGAACCAGACACGAGCCTGGCTGCGCGAAAAACAACCTGCAGCACCTGCAGGGAGAATTTATTCGCGCCGGTTTCTCTCGCCCAGTTTTGCAGCACGCCCACGTGAAGCTGCCGTGGATGTGCGGCAAGGAACGACTTTGGATTAAGAGGTAGAGTCGCTTCACCTCTTCCAAAATCTCTGCCACGTTTACTTCGCGGAGGTAACAGAAGCTGCTTTTATACTCAAGACGGCATCCTTGTGAATTACTTAGGTACTGATGGGCCTTTTTTTAGGTGCAAATACTTTACAAACAGTGAAATAGTCTTTACGCTTCAAAAGGAAGCTGGCAAATTGGAACTCACCTTCTCAGGTTTTTATCTCCTTGTGAGAGTAGGTTTTTCAGGGAAAATAATGTATCCTGGGTTACCCTTTAGCTGGCAAAATATTGCTCCCCCAAACATTTCTGCTGGTACAAAACTTTGCAGCTACCAACCGTTAATTTAATAAATTTACTTCATAAAAGCTACTGTATTTGGACAAGTAGAATTTTCAGAAGATTTAAACTTTATCCCATCAGATTATTACAACAAACATTCCACCTCCATCCGTTTTTAATTTTCTGCTGGTTATGTTTTTAATTTCAAACTGAGACTCAGCTACTTTACTGGCATCATCTTTTTTTTTTAAACCCTTTGATAGAAATTTTAAAAGTGTTAAAGAAGACTACATTTGCCAAAAAGTTTACAATGATCATTTTCTTTTCAGACTTTTAAAGTGTTGGCCACCAACTCAATTAATAAAAAGGCTTTAGCTGCAGATATATACAATGCAATTCCAACAGAAAAGGTGGATGGAACTTGCTGTTATATAACTACATACAAAGGTAATATAGAATTAAATTAAAAATGTTACTGTACTAGGTATTATGTATATGAAGAGGTAGCATGCACATTTTTGTAAATGAATAATTCAAAATTAGGATGTTCCTTTTCTACGTATAGAACAATTCCAGCAAGCGTGTTTTGCTGCTCAGCATGGCTGTTTCCTAGTAAGACTTCAATTTGAATAGTATAATGTAGCTGTCAGTCTACAGTCATGTATTCTATCTAAGCTGCAGAAATGTGTCTATGAAGGTTCTGAATGTTAATACCTGTGTTAGATGGGTACCTTATTCCAAGAAATTCCAAATAGCCATAACTCAGAGCTTTATCTTGCAGTCTTTTAGTTGAAGACCACCATCTCTTACAATTTTTTTTCTTCCTGGCATTTTCCCACAAGTGCAGGGTCTGGGTTTTTTTTAGATCAACTAAATGCAGTTTGTTGCTAAACAACAGTATCTGTATTATTGGATAATTGCTTAGGCTAGAATATGACAAGGATAGAAATAGCCAAGCATGTGTAGGCTACTCATCTTTTAGACAATAACACTAGGTTTTCTAATATATATACATGTTCACTTCTGTGTAAAATTTCATTTAGTGATAATTTATAATACTATAAGGATTTTGAGAACAGAAACTAATATTAATAAATTAATATTAATATGAAATTAATAAGGTTTACAAACAAATGTTTAATTTCTACAGGATTGTCTTGTAAAATATATTGTCCTTTTCTGGGAAACTGTTACCTTGATGTAGTGGAAAGGTTCAATAGCTTATTTTAAGAAAAATATCTTGAAAGTGTCAAACTTCAATAATAGCTCTGGAGATAATTATATAAAGATACATAAGATCAAAACTGGAAAAAAAACATTAATTATGGTGTGGGTGTTCAATGAACATCAGCATTAAGTGATACTGATGAAAGACAAAAAAAACAGGAAGGAATAGTGATAGAAGAAAATGTACAGATGCTCATCCATTCCACTTATTTCTGATGTAGGCAAACTTTTTGTCAAGATGTTACTAAGAAAAATATTCATACATAGAATATAGCTAGCTTGAGATAATGTGGAAAGTAACAGGAGTACTGAAATAGGTTTACCTTTATTTCAATGGATATAAGAAGACCTTTGATTTTGTGAATCATGATTGAATATAGAATATATTAAAACCAATAGAACATGTGATCATTCTTAGGACGTTTTACAGTGAACAAAAGAGCTACTATAAATTACTGAATGTGTAATTCATTTGAGAATAAGAATAAGAAAGGGTATGTGATAAGGATGATTCTTGTTTCCATTTTCTTTATCTTATCATTAAATATAGGGATGAGAAGACTGATAGCTATGTCAAAATACTAACAATTGGAAATGTGTAGATAACAATACTTTGATGGTCAGAATTGAAGCATGCTTAGACTCAGGAAAGCAAAAATATAGAGTGAAAAATCAGGATTATGCTTGATTGCTGTTAATTCAATTCAAAATGGTGCATCCACTTACAGAATCTAAGCATGAATTATTTTTTATACGCTCATATCACATGTTTGCTTATTTCTGGAGATATATGCTGCTTCAAAAATACCTCACATTACCTTGTTTATGAAATAATTGGAAAAAAAATCAAACTTTCAATCTCATTGTAGGTCATCCATACCTTTGGGCCCGACTTGATAGAAAACCAAACAAGCAAGCCGAGAAGAAGTTTAAGCAGTTTATGTACTCAGCAGAACACTCCAAAGGTAGGGGATTTTTCTGATACATGTTGTAACAAAAAACTGATAATGAAGGCATTTCATCTTACGTTTCCCTCTGTCCTTGAAGAATTATCTAGAGAATATCAATTCCTGATTACCAGTAAGTTGAAATGTTTTGATCAAGTTCTGATTATATAAGTGCCTTGCTACAATGAATTAGTAGTTTGAATGTATGATATGCCACATGCTAAATAAATAAAAGTAGTTTGAATATCCTTTAGTTACCATTTTGTCAGTGAAAGTAATGAAACACACTTCAGAAACTTTAAATGGGGCAGCAAAAGTAGATGCAGTTATATTTGCAACCTAATAGCAATGAAAAATTGATACACACACAAAAAAGAATTGTCATTGCCAAATTGTTACTTGTTACTTATCCTAAATTGTAAACCTGTTCGATAGTTAAATGGTAACTTTTACAAAGGTGTTAATATTCTTGCCTACAGGATTTATGTGGAATATTGAAGATGATTTCAGGTCTGTCCCTGAATGCTGGATTCCAGCCAAGGACATAGAGTACTGCAATGGAAAGCCTTTTCCTGATGAAAACGGACACATTCCAGGTATAAAAATATTATTTAATATGAGAAATCCTTATTCTAAACATCTAAAGTCATCTTTCCTTTTAGAAAAGATTTCATTTAGAGTGTTAGAAATTTGTTTTTAGAAAAATCTATAAATTAGTTAAATGAAGTCAGATATAATGGTACTGTATCATGTAAGGGATATATGTGGTGATTTGTACATCAAATTGGAAAGTACAAAGTTAATGCTGCCTACTTGATCAGAAGAAAAGGAATTGTATGTTCTTCTTTCTTAGGAAAATCCTATTTCTTCCTGATCTTCAAAATATGTCATGAAAAACACTTTCATTTTGAACTTTTCTTTCATGAACTTTCAAATTTATTTTTCCCTCCAAAGATAAAATATTAGGTAAAAAAACCCTTTTGTTTCCTTTATCATTTTATTAGTGATGCTAAGACCTCCCTTCCATTTTAAAGATAGATTATGTGGTGGGGAGGAGAAACTAGATGAATTCAGGTGAATTGAGCAAAACATCCTATCCTGACGGTTCTCATTTAACAGCTTCCCATAATACAAGCAAAAGAAACATTAATATGTTGGTAGCTACCTGGAAAATATACATTCCCTTCCTGAGAATTGTTCACCACAACTTCAGAGTGAAAATCGTTAATGGACCGAGGTCTGCATTATACTAAAAATAGAATTCTTTCCAAATAACTTACTAATGCTGTCAACAAATATACCAATTGCCAAAAATTAGTTAGAGGCAATCCTATGATTAACCTTCACCTTAACCATAAGATTAACTTTTCCCACTATGGGCATTCTTCAGATATATGGATTTCAAGTCCCCAAATTCCCAGCACTGATTGTGCTGGTTGGGCATTCTGAGGGTGAAATTCACGTATCTGTAAAGCATTCAACAGTTGCACTAGTTCTTACAAGCTTGATATTCTGTTTTAATACTGTTTGAAAGAAAATGTAGGTGGTTAACAAATCATACTTTATTTCCTATTGAGAGTAAAATGTTAATCCTTACCATGAAAATCCTTCCGTTTTTTTATACATACTCATATTCATTATTCAAAATGTTTTTAAATGTACACTAGCCAGAATCACTGATAGGGAGTGTTAGGATGGTTCCTAAAAAATGTATTATAGTCGGCTGTTTGCTGTTCTTAAACTATTGATGATGGTGGTTTCTAAATGTTAGTTTTTGTGAGTCATGTAGTTCTTTAACTTCTGAATTAGGAGTACTTAATTTTGAATACCTCTGTGCTCTAGGTGAAAAAGATGTTTCATGATTTTTTGTATTTCAAAACACAATAAGCTATGGAGTTTTTCCTTTTTGAATTGAAATAAAACTAGATCTTAGTAAAATCCCATTCTTGATTAGTAAATATTTTTCAATCACTCATTTTCTGTGTGCAATAAAACTTATATTTATCTCACTAATATTTTTATTCATATATCAAGTCAAATCAATCTCAATCAGTCTCAAGACAATACTAACATTGTGTTTCATAATAATCAGGTTGGGTGCCAGTAGAAAAAAACAGCAAACTATATTGTTGGCATTCTTCTGCTATTGATTATGAGTATGAACTTGCTCTCATTCTGAAGCATCATGCTGAGGAACCTGATCTTCTAGAAATCTGTCCAGTACCTTTAAGTGAATTTACAGAGCAAACACTGGAACTTATTGGAACAAATATTAATGCAAATCCATATGGTAAGCACTTCAACTCATTAAAAAAAATCAGACTATATATAGCAATATATAGCAAAACCATTACACTAAAATTACAAATGTAATAATGTAGAAATGAAAAACACACAGTAAAAGTGTAATGAAGTTAATTAGAAAGGTAATCCAATGCTTCAAAGCATGAACATAGCATTTGTCTGGAACTGTTTAAAGTAGCATGGACCTTGTAAGGCCCAGCCATATATGACAAATTTAAAGAGTTGCAGACACGTGCTATGTACATGCACCAATGAATTATGAAGCAACAGGAATAATTTTCCCAATTCTAGTAATTGGGTTATGTACTGAAAGCGTTCAATTGTAAAAATAACGTTGCTCTATGACTTTGATGAAATAAAGGATTGTAATAAACTATTACAATCAAAGTGACCTCTTAGATAAGATAAATGAAAAACCTAAATACATATAGTGGTAGAAGTAAATTATGGAAGCAAGTATTATAATATAGTGGATTTTGGAGAAGGAACCATTCAGATTAATATGAGGAGTTTCTGTAATAAAATAAAATATGCTAGTCATAAGTTTTTGAATGTTTTAATAGGTTTAGGAAACAAGAAACATCCTGTACATCTTCTTGTGCCACATGGAACATTTCAGATTAAAAATGCACCATCAATAAATCACAATGATATATTGGCTTGGCTTGATGGATGCAAAGAGGGGAAGATTGAAGGGATTGTGTGGCATTGTCCTGATGGAAATTTAATCAAGGTAATCCTGCAAGTTTCATTAAGAAATTGTGATTTTTTTTAATGTTCAGAAAGCCTAGTGTCCTGGAGCTTATGTTACTCTTACCTTCAAATATACATATTTGCCAAGAAAGGAAAATTTCTGTGCACATGTACAAAGAGTACAAAGGAAAGCATGAGAAAAGCCTTCAAAATATACAATATATATCTTTCAAAGAACATAGCTGCTTTAATGTTTTAACATGCTTTTTGAAGTTACCTCTTTCAAATACTTTTCATAGTCTTATTTCTTTGCTTGTTTTTTCACATATTTTTATGCAAGTATGGTCATTAATAGATTATACTGTTAAAAATAATATTTTAACTGCTTTTCTTTTTTTTCTTCAAATAGCTTCACAGACATCATCTTGGCTTGTCTTGGCCAATTGTGGATCCTTCTTTGGCATCAAAACCAATTACTATCACTTTCAATAGAGCCAAGTACAACTTTGAACCAAAGACTCTTTTTCATTATTTTTCAAAGTTGGATGGACAAAGATTCAGTAGTCTTAGAGATATAATAAGTGTCTTATGACCAGGTCTCTTCAGAAAATACATTGAATCATCTGTATGCCTGCTTCTTCATTTATAGTAATCTAAAGATATTTAACATGTTTGTTGAAATGTAATATAAATTGTATTATGTCTACATATTCTTGACTGTAAATACACACAAACACACACACACACACACACACACACACACACACACGTATATAACTGGAGAAACTTCAGTAGAAAAGCTATAAAGAAAACCTTCAGTTCCTAAAGGTGAAATATGCAACATGCTTTTATTCAAGCAGTGAAAATTAACTATTAATCTCACAAGTTTTATCTCATTAAAAAAAATCATGTATCCATTTTTTCTGGCACTGTAACATTTAAGTTTAATAGACTTTATGCAGTGAAGGCATAAAAGAAGAAAACTTTTAGAAACTATATAACCTTACAGTAAAATCTTGTGGTAGTTTAAACACTGCTACCAGCATTGGAGAACATTTTTCAATATTTATCAGTCATGAATAGTTTAAGTAAGTCATTTTACTTAAAATATATAGGATCAGTCTGATTCCTTGCTTCCATGTATTTTTTTAGAAAGGAATACCTGCACTAATTATGAACACATAAGGAACAACTTCCCATTCTGGCATCTCTTTTAAAATGTTTAGATAAGATTCTTCATTTATAGAGATTTTAATTATCATAAATAACTTTATAATATTTGTAGTAGAATTTTATGTACATTAGGATCATGAACAGATATCTGCTTATGCAGTGACTTGTTATTCTATGGCCCCTTTGGAGCTCCTAAAATCTGATGTAGAACATCTAATTTTCTGGAGCAGATATAAGGAAGCATAACTCCAATTCTGTCAAAACAAAGCAGCATTTTATCTTATTCAAGAACATCTAATTAATGAAAAATGATCTTGAAGTTTGTAACACTTTTATTCAACATAACTTGTCTTAAACATTTTAAATTAGGAATGTATTGTTTTATTCACAATTCATATATATTATTCAAACATAGAAAATATATACATATATACTAATAAATTAGCACAATTTAGAAGTAGCAAATTTACATTATTATAATTCCTTTAATCTTTCTTTTGTCTTTAAACTTGTGGAAGCCCTAAACCAGATTAATCAGGCAGGCACTTTGTTAAGACTTGAAAGAAACTGTACAGTATAAGACTTACATATAGCAGAAATAATCTGCATTTTATTGACTTTAAAATAAGTGGGGGGAAATACCTCACTCATGAGCATGTTTTTCATTTTCGATGCAAATATTTAATTTATCTTTAAATACACAGTATTGGCAAGTATCTTGGAAATGTTTTTTCAAACAGAAAATGTTTTAGTCAACAGAAATTCTACCTGGAATGTCTACTTGAACTCCAAATTTTTCAGAAAGTGTTTTCAATTGCTCTTCTAAGACAATATTCTTTTTAACTTCTTCATTATAGTTATATTTTAAATCTTCGATTTCCTCAAAAAAGGCTGGATCAAAGTGGTCCAATTCATTTTTAAGCTTTTTGATTTCTTCCTAATGAGAAAAAAACGTTATAAATTAATCCTAACAAACACACAAACACAAGTATGTTCAGTACAATCCATTAATTTCAACAGATACAACAATCTATTATATCTTATTGTGCTTTTCCTATATTCAAAATGTGTTCTAGGTTTCTTCATGCCCTATGAATAAAAACATATACACATTCTTGTTCTAATCTGACATTTCGAAAAATGGTTTTTGATAGAAAAGATCAATTTAACCAAGAATTAAACAGTTTGTATTTAATGCATTCCTCACAATATTAACTTCATTTTGCCTCTATTTTTTACATTTACAGTCCAATATAAGGGAAATTTGTCTTGAAAATTTTATTTTGCTTAACTTGAAAAGCATCTGGACTTTAATGTAATGAAATACTGTATATAACAATTGATTTCAATGCCACAATATTTTCTAAGCCTATAGACCAGGGGTGTCAAACTTAAAGCCCACGGGCTGGATTCGGCCCGCAGGGTGCTTAAATCCGGCCCATGGGCCAGCCTGGAAATATCAAGGGGCCAGCCTGCGGTGCCTCTAGCAGCTAAAACGGTCTGCATGCAGTCCCTCCTCACCTTTTTTTTACTCTCCATGGCCTCCTGCAGCACTCTGCCAGCTGAAACTGGGTCAAAAAATGGGTTGAAAATGAGCTGAAAAATGGGCCATGGGGCCTATTTTCAACTGTCAGAGTGCTGCAGGTGGCCAGGGAAGGCAAAAATGAAGCATAAAGGGGGTACATGCAGCCCTCCCGCACACTGTTTTGGCTGGCAGAGTACTACAGGAGGCATCCATCCTGCCCCCACACTGCCCCCTCCTCGCCACCGGTCTGCAGAGAACAACAATGCTGATCCAGCCCTCGAAGAAATCCAGTGACACCACTGCTATAGACCGAATGGATATTTTGCAAAAGGCCAACGAATTGAAAAATTACCGTACTAACATGAAGTCGCTGCTGTTCCAAATCTGAAGATTTAAGCTGTGTCTTGAGGTCTGTTACCTCTGCCACTAGTTTGTAGTTTCCAGTTTTCTCTATTCAAATAGAAGTTTACAGATATACATACAGATGAATACACATTTTCATATATCTAAGAAGTATGTTTGAGAACAGCTGTATGGCATTAGCTTTTTTTATTCAAGGGTATAATATTCTATACTACTTATGTAATTGATAACATAAGTTATTCCAGGCGGTATTCCGGGAGGCTGATCCAACCACCGATAGGCGGTGGCACTGACAGGTGGAATGGTGACAGGCTGTTTGCCGTTGCTGCCTGTTGCCTCTGCTGAACCCCCTCCCCGCCGCCGCCCAGTTTGTGATGCAATATTCACTCCATAAGACGCACAATCATTTCCACCCACTTTTGAGGGGGAGAAAAGTGTGTCTTATAGTGCAAAAAATACAGTATTTTATATATTACCAGCTGCAAGGTCATCTCTAAGTTTTCTTTGATTTTGAGAAGATTCCATCATGTAAATTTGTTCTTTTTCCTTTTCCAAATCATGATTAGTTAATCTATAAGAAAACAATAAAGAGCAGAAGTTGATGAAGCTTTTGCTAATGTTTTTATTCTGTTTAACAAAGGAAACATTTTGTGTGCTTTACCGGAAAAGTTGATTTTCTCTGACATATTCTTGCTCTGTTTTGGTACCCTCGGGAACACTTTTGAGGACTTCAGCCTTTGCATGAAAATAAAAGTTTAATTTTAATATTAGGATCTTCTAAGTATGGACTAGACTTCAGTGCAGTGATTCATGTATTGAATGGAGGAAAACCCATCTAAAATTGACATGTATAATGGAATTTACAAGATGATTTTGATATTCTGCCAATTTAACACGCCAAGTCAAAACAATTTTCATGTGTGCCACTTTCAGCTTACAAAAGTAAAATAAGATAAATAAGCTACAAGGTATCTTTTGCAGAAGAAATGTGTCATTTCTCTTTTCTGCCATTCTTTAACTTGTAAATTGGTAAAAAGAAAAGCTTACTGCAGAAGAGGACCTTGTCCTTTTATGGGATACAGCTCCTTACTTTTAATCTCATCAAACTGATTTTAAAAATATATAAAAGAACTCCGTGACAATTGTTTTGCAAAGTAAAGCAAATGAGTTACAGTGGAACCTTGGGTCACGACCATAATCCATTTCAGGACTACAGTTTCAACCCGATTTGGTGGTGACTGGAAGCACAACCAACTGTGCATGCATGGACTGACTGCACATGCATGGAAGGGAAAATCGTCACAGCAAGGGAATCTGCCATGGCCGAGTTTGTTCACCACCTGATTTTTGAATCGTGACCCGATTCAAAAATTGTGTGGATTTTTTTGATCAGAACCCAATTTGACCACGAACAGGAGTGTTTTGCAATTCGAGGTTTCACTGTATTGTGAAGGGATGAGGTTTCAGATGTCCTCTGTAACTTGTACGTGTGCCTGATCCGAACTCCATATAAAACAATATTAAGAGAGTAAAAGCAATATACAATAAAATAGTCCATGCCAATAGGAACAATTAAAAGGATAGGATTCTAAAAAGATTTATAAAGCTTTAATCTCCTGATCATAGACGCCCATTCTAGAAAGTTTTCCCCAGTAATCAGAGAACCAGGAGTGGAATGGTAAATAACCTGCTCTCTAGACACCAATCAGAATAGAAAAAACAATGCACTTACAAAGGAAGAAACTGCATTAAAACATATCTATGGAGATTGTCAATTATCCAGGTCATGGTTGTCCCAAAGGTGCCTTTTTTCCTCCTCTGGACTTTCTGGTTTTTCTTTGAAGACGTTTTGCTTCTCATCCAAGTCAGAGCTGAAGAAACTACTTGGATGAGAAACAAAATGTCTTCAAAGAAAAATCAGAAAATCCAATTGCTTCTTGGGAAAAAAAACATCTTTGCATTAAAATATCTTACCAGTAAAATATAAATGTCAAATTTTCCCACTATATCCATGCTAAGTTTTACTTTAGTTTGGCATAATAGTTAAGGTATGAGTTCTGCTCCTACCTCGGCCAGAAAATTAGCTGGGTGACAGGGCAAACCACTCCTGAAAAAAATGTGCCAAGAAAACTGCAGAGACTTGCCAGGCAGCTGACCTGAAGGCACCAAATAAATAAAAATAAATTCTTACTTGTTCTTTAAGATAGTCTTCAATACAGTTTTCATTTTTATCTCTACTCTCTGTTGGCTGTTGTAATTTCTTTTTAAGATCACTAATAGTTTGATTTTTTCTGGCAATTTCAGACTCCATTTCTTTGAGTTTATTTTCAAACATCCTGAAAGTAAAAAAATAAAAATGGACAGTACTGATTCCAACTAATCTCATCAAAAGAAAATTATATTATTTAAGAAAATAAAATTGTATATGATGTATTTTAAAAATTGTAATTGGTTTACAATTTTTAAAGACATACATGATACACAATACATACTTAATTGTTCATATTGAACATCTACAATAAATAACTCAGATTCACAGTGCAACATGATTATTGCGAAGAACATTTTATATAGCTTCCCAAATCAACTTTTTAAATAAACAAAATAATAAAAAGGATCTTGTCACATGCCCTAGAAGTATGTATTCCAAAGATGCAAAAATCTGCTATTAATTGATACATTTTTCATTAATGATTTCCAAATTTTGAAGCTTATTCAAAAGTGCCAATAAACTTGAAAAATAAATTAACAGTTTTTGAAATATTAAATGGGAAATGGATATAATTTATTTTCCATTATTTAGTTCTAGAGCCCTTACATTATAATGATAATTGGGATGAGAATTTCTATTGCTAAATTATGTGATCATAAAGCAAGACATCATAGGAGCATGTCATTCAGCAATAGCAATCCTGATAATCCCCATTGCCATTGAAAATCACGGGCCATTCAGCGAGGATCTTGTGACTTCCTTCCAGCTTCCTGAGGAGATAAAACAGCAGCAGAATCTTCCATGTCAGCTTCCCTACGACTCTATTTGTAGGAAGCCAGCAGAGAATGTCAGAAATGGTAAACATGTGACTGTGGGATGCTGCAACTATTGTATGAGCTGGTTGTTAAGTGCCCAGATCACATCCACATGACCATAGATGTGCTGTAAAAACTGAAACTCCAAGGATTGGTTGTAAGTACCACTCATTTAACGCTGTCGTAATTTAGGTTGTTGAATGGATGGCTGTTAACAGACAACCTGTACCTTGTTATAACTATGGATTTCCAGTTCTTGGTGTCAGCGTCTTCAAGTTTTGGGATTCTGCTTTCTGCTAAATTTAATTTCTTTGTTGTCTCTTCCAATTCCACATTCAGTTTCTCATTTATTATTTCAAGGTTATTCTTTGCCATTCGCAGTTTTTCGGCATTTTCTACTTCCTATTAACAATATATATATATTAATCAAATTGAAACATGTTTCCAAATTAAGTTTGGAATGAACACTATGCCTTCAAGTTCCTTTCTTATCATTGTGCCAACAAATTTTCCATTAAATCTGAAAGAATGGTTTAGTTTCATTATTCTAATTTTCTAATCCTTACTAATCAGGATGTGAAGCCATGATATGCTGCTATATCAAGATTAAGGGTTCTGTTTTCAAAATGAGAAAGACTGAGCCCTGCTAATTTATAATACTTGAAATAATTTTAAGTATTATAAATAATATATATAATAAATAATATAGATTAATAATCTATTGCATTTTTTTTAAATAAAGGAACTTCTCAAAAAAGCAAACCAATGTTGTCCCCCAACCCTAGATAGAATCAAGCTATATTGAAAATTTGCCATACAATGTTTATACAATGTTATATAGTTACCTTTTTCAGCTCTTTACGTATTCTGTCATTTTCAGCAATGATTTTTTCTGTGCCTTTGGTTTTCAGTTCATATCGTGCACTTAGTTCACTTCCAAAGTGAAGTTTCAGTTTTTCCATTTCAGACTTAATATTTTATAAATAAATGTAAAAAGGAATATTATGTCACAAATTGTTATTAAAATCTGAAAAAGCATAGTATCTATTTGTATATGGTAACGCTCTTACCAATTTCTACAGAGTCATATTGTATTCACTTAAAATATACTTTTTAAAAAAATAATATTTTTTCATGTATATTGTATTTCCCACTTCTAGAACAATTAGGATAATCCAAACTTATATAATTTATAATTAGAAGTTCTAAAAGTAAAACTAAAACAAGAAAAGAGAATAATAGATGAAAGGATATTAGTAAGACAGCTCCCTCACGAGTTCTGGGATCTCAAGGACCTCAACCAGGTCTTGAAGGACTTTTGTAAGCTCAGGAGTAATGAGATCTACCTTCATAAATCACTGTATATTTTCCAGATTAAATATTAAAACAAAAAGGACTTTAAAATAGTATACAATTTACCTTTAAGTCCTCATTTTCTTGCTCAAGTCTGGCAACTTTTTCATTAGACACTACTCCAGGGGCCCTTTTTAGCTCTTCATTTTCTCTCTGGACTCTCTCTACAACTTTTTTCATCAAGCCAATTGTTTTCTCTAATTCCGGAATTGTTTTCCCACTTCTTCCAGCCTACATGAAGAAATAAGAGATGAATATATACATACACATACATTCACAGACTTATATGTAAGGCTGATATCTATGTTGTTATATCATATCTATTAATCTAGAAATACTATTTTCCTTCTATAAAAGGTCTCCAATAAAATATTTCCTAACTATATTAATTTTCTTATTTGTGATATCTGCTTGTTATAGATATTTAGTTCAATATTACATAGTGTTTCAAATACATGGTTCTATCACTCTAAAGTCACATAATACAAATATGAGGCATAATAAAAAAAATGCAAACCAATTACTTAGCAGCATTTTTATCTATTTTGTTCTTTGTAACATTGCAGGATATAAAGTACTTGTAGCATCATGTGAATAAATTCTTTTGCAGTGAAATACACAGATGAAAGCAAACCTATTTTGGCTTCATATTGTGACAAAGAAAATATATAAAGCATAAGTCATTTACACCTACTCCTATATTAATTGTCCCCACTAATCATCAGAGAAAATTGAATGTGCAGATTTTGCTTCATTCCCACATATTTCCAATATAGTTCAAAACTCTGTATTCTTATTAAAATTTACAGTTAAACGCAACTATGGGGAAAATGTATTAAATGTTGTCTGCTTGAACAAACAGAAGCTAAGGGTTACAAATAACTGCTCTATTATAACCAGATTCTATGTTCCATATCTCACTTTGTATGCTTTGTGGACTCATCTAACTGTACTGTAATAATGAAAACTTGCTTGAATCTTACAGGCTTATTCCCTCTAAAAACCTGGATGGTACTAGCTACTAAGAGCCATGGTGGTGCAGTGGGTACAATGCAGTATAGCAGGCTAATTCTGCTGACTGCCAGCAGTTTGATTCTCATTGGCTCAAGGTTGACTCAACTTTTTATCCTTCCAAAGTCGATAAAATGAGGATCTAGATTGTTGGGGGCAATATGCTTACTCTGTAAACTGCTTAGAGAGGGTTATAAAGCAATGTAAACCATTATATAAGTCTAAGTGCTATTGCTACAACACCAACTCTGCTTGCTAGGAGATAGTGATCTACTACTGTACATAGAATCCAAGGAGTTTGTTGTTCTTGACTGTTACATTTAGCTAAATGAATAGTGGTATATTTGGTGTGAATTGAATCTTCTGGGATTTTTTGATGATACAGTTCTTATGTACTAAGACAAAATTGTAAAAAAAATATTTTTGTAACATAAACAAATATAACTGATATAGTAATTGATACATTATTTTTATTACTATTTAAATTTTGTCTCAATTTTTAGTAAATCTTATCCTCTACTATTATAGGCAAAACAAATCATATCTTTCTACCTTGGGATAAGAAACTCTTCATTGATGAAAGTCAAAGGTCTTCTATATTTTAATGCAGTTAATACAAGTTCATAGTATTTATAGGATTCATTCTTGTACTCTTTTTACAAATTCTATCATATAATCTTACCCCTCTGACATTGCCTAATTTCCACTCAGCTTCTCTCTTTTCTCGCTTCAGGATCTCACACATTTCTTTTAAATCGGCTACTTGATTCTATTGAAAAAATAAAGTGATAATCTCATTCTACAGAATACTTCTTCTAAAAATAAATATGTACAGTAAAATGGAAAATTCAAAATATGCATAAAGAAGTTAGACTTCTCTGCAATATTCATCTTTGTGATGACCCAGGGTGTGGCACAAAGGCAACACAGTCAAATAAGCAATAAGAGGCCCTTTATTATCTCCAACTTTGCCCCCAATGTCCAGGTTACCTTCGATTGGAGAAAAACTTTCCCAGGTACACAAAACAAGGTACACACAAACTGTAACTTAAAATCCAAACAAACCAAACTGAAGTAATTAGCTTGACAGGGCAGGAGAAAGAATTTCAGACTTGAAAATACAGCAAAACTCACACAGTTGGGAAGACGGCAAGAACACAGATAAGCCAGGATGATATAAGATGAATTCACATTTGCTCCCAACAGCTTGCTGCACACAGCTTGCCTTTTTTTTTTATACACTGTGTTCCCAGCTGCAGCTAATGAAGGGAATCAGGGACCTTTCCTCTCCCGTAAGCCATGCAACCCATGTTGCTCTCTTCTCCGTTCCTCCCTGCATGCCCTAGGATGAAGGGGGGGTAGGCCTGGGTCTTCCTCTGAATTCCCGCTCCTTTGTTCTACCTTTCTCCTGCTCTGCCCAGCCTTACTTTGCCCTTCCCCAGTTTCTTCCACAGCCAACAGAACCACACTCCCACTCCCTGTTAGCTGTTCGGCTTCCTTCTCTGAGTCAGATTCCGACAGGGGCAAGACAAACCTATTACAAAGGTATCGGAATACACGCAAAGGGTTATATGTTCACAAGGAACTTCTTTCCAGTTATCTACTAAATACATACTTACTACTACTAATTCTAATGATTTACAGTATGTATTTAGCTATGTAATTATTTACATTCATAATGCCAAACCAACACTGTGTCACTCTGTAACAAAAAACTGTTAACTTTTGAATCAGACAATTTACATTATTAAAGATTGTGAATACAATGTTATTCAGGGTACTAATACATAAGGATTGTGTTCTCACTAATCATGAAATATTTCAATATTCCAAAGCTTTCGGAAAAAGGAGGAATCAGTGGTTAAACCAGTTTATTATAATTAGAGTAAAATAGTGTAAAGACAAATGCCATTAACTGGGAGAAAAAGAACCATGTACATAGCAGATTTTGCTATGTAAATCCAGAATCTAAACAAAAATTGTATGAATATTTGATGTTAAAATGTATTGCCCGATCAAGAGAAATTTTAATGAGATGCACATATGAAACAAAGGCTATTGTATAATCTACAACATCATAGCTTATAAAACTATTTGATTGTAAAATAATTTATTTCCAATAAC